ATTTGGGCATCCAGAGTCCGTGAGGAGACCAAACCCATTGAGAAGTGATTGCTGAGGTTGAGCCTTAGAGGTGGAAATATCACAGCCCTGGCCGTGCAGTACGGACGGGCACATGGCAGCATGAAGGATGAGGCATCGCTGCTGGGCGCTGCGTGCCGTGCTGCAGGGACTGCTTCCCTAGGTCATGGAGATGTCCTCTCTGTGTCATCCCTGCATTGCCATGTACATGTCTGTCTGTTTTCCCATGCGTTGCCTTCCAGAAATTGGAGCCCTGTGGCTCTTGCTCCCTTGGGCTGTTTCTTATGGCAGATGATGGTGCCCAGGGCAGGTGCTTGTGATGCCTGTGGACGATGTGTGGAACAGAAAAATTTCGTTAGGGTTGTGGTCTTCAGGAGCCGGCATGGTGCACAGAAGCAATAACGGGAGCTGTGCTGCGTGCCTCGCTCCGGGCTCCACGGGTCGCTGGCAGGAGCCATGGCGGGATGGCCCGGCATCACGGCGAGGCATTAGCCAGCACTACAGGACGCCGTGGCGGAGAGCAGGCAGCGCTGGGACCTGCCCCGCTCCCAGTTCAGCGAAGCTTATTTAACAGCATCACTGGCAGCGTTCAGCCAGGAAAACCATAAGCGTCATGTCCCAGAGACCTGAACATGGCTGCAACAGGGAGCCAGGGGGACGGTGGCACGTAATTAATTTGGGAACATGTGTTCGCTTTCCGGTGAGTTATTATCTTGTCAGAGGCTCAATGGAAGCAAACGGGAAGGAGGAGGCAGAAGGGAGATGAGTCGGGCTGGGAAAACAAGAAGCAAGGGAAGGAGAAAGGCAGGGAGGGAGGAGTACGGATGCACGAGGCGTGTGCCCGCATCTGCGCTGCGCGGGACCCCCAGCACAGCTTTGCCATCGGTTGGGTCTGGCTCGGTGCCCTGTGCCAGATCAGGGTCTGGCGCCGGGGGCCTTGAGACGCGTGGCACCGACCGCCACCTCGGCGATGGCAATCTCTGTACTGTCCCCACTGTGTCTTATCTGCGCCGCGCGAGAGGCATCGCTGGGTTATTTATAACTCTGTGTTTCGGGCTGCTCATGACGTGGGCTATTCATTATGCATCGAGTCTGCCTTGGCTATTTTGCAGCTCCGGACTGAGTTTTCCTCCCTGCTCCTTTGTGCTTGTTCTTCCCCTTCCCCGAGGTGGTTATGGGGAACGGCAGAGTTGCAGGTCTGGCAGAGCACGTCCTAACTAGCACGTGGTGGTCCATGCGCAGGCTTCCGCCCACCAAGCAGGTGGATTCAAGCTCTGGTTTTCCATCTCCCCAGCTCACACCAGGTTTTAGTCCGTGGCTGTTCCATTTCTGGCCTGTATGATGGGTGCTGGTTGTGCTGGTTTTCTTACAGATGAGGAGCTGAGAGAGTTCTCCCATTAATTCCTGCAATATTTGAGCTCCTAATTGTACTCAAGCAGAGACAGCCTTGAAAAGTTCCCACCGTTGATTCGGGCAGAGCAGGGCTGGTACCGGCCGGGGGAGCCAGCTCTGCTCCGAGCATCCCCAAGCTCCGGGTGCTTTCAGAGACAGAAACCACAGCAGTTGGGTGCCCATTGCATTGCTCTAGCTCCAGCCTCGGGCGAGCAGTGAGAGGACCACAGCGCAATTCCAGAGGGTCCGATATACATGAGACTGGTTGGAGAAATAATCCCCATCCAAAACCTGGGCTGGAGGTAACTGAGCTTCACCCGAAGCAGCATCTGTGTCCCCGTGCAACCCAGCATGTGGATAAACATCCCTCCCACACTGCTCCAGCCCCGGGGGACTCCAGCAGCCCCGGCGACACCAACACCCTGTTACTTTCTCTGCAGCAAGGTCTGCACTTACTGATTGTGTTTGCTTAACCCCAGCCCTGCTCCCTTGGTCCCATCTATTTGTTTTTCCATTCCTGGCAGTCACTAATGAATGAGATTTGTCCGACTATCAACAAGATTTCCCATTATAAATAAGCATAAACGCAGAGGCCAGGGAGACGAGCAGTTGGGCAATTATCTCAGTCCATGCCTTTGCCCCTCGGCCGACACGGGCACTCGTGTGTTCCGGCTGTGCAGGTGGCAGCAAAGCAGCTTTATGGGCCCGGTTTTCCTGCAAAGTCCCTTGCCCACTTCGCCAACATGAAGCAGTGCCCTTGTAGCAGGGATCCCTCGTGCCACCTTATTCCTTGAGGTGTATTAGCTGATGCTAAGGAGGCAGGATCTGGCCAGTGTCTCCAGCAGGGATGATCTTCCTGATGCTGTCGGCATCGTTCTCTGAGCAGAAGTAGTACCAGACTGTGCTCAGGGCAAAAGCAGGTGTTGACTCTGGCACAAAGCATCCCGTTTTGGTCCAGGGCAAGCTCTGCACGTCCAGGTCGATGGGCTGTAGCTGAAATCCCGTGGGTACCAATGCAAAGTGCACCAGACCCTGAAACCCTGAACTCTTTGTGCTCCGCCTCTCCGTCGGCCGATTACCGTGCACGTATCTCGGGCTTCAGCACTACGCAGGCACAGAGGGAGTCTTCATCTCTCAATTTCCGGAGCTTTTGCAGGTGGAAAGCTGACCCTCGCAGTTACTTTAATGAAGTCTTTTGCTGGGTAATGAAACGCACTCGAGCCGCTTTGCTCCCAGATCAAAACGGGAACGCGAGCTACGGCTCGGCTACGGCGAGCGCTAATTCTTGCCGCATGCGAGCCGGCTCCGGCGCGCTCGGGGAAGGGCCTTTGGTTAGTTGGGAAGCAGAGTGTTATCTGAGCCTTTGCACAAACCGGAGTCAGATTTGCGCGCGGAGCATCTGAAGGCCACCGGCTGTGTCGTTATTTTATCAGCAGGCAGCGCTGTGCTACAGAGAAGCCGATTCTAGGTCAGCCATAAAAGGGATTTTTTTTTTTTTTTTTTTTTTCCTCCCCTGCCCTCATCTCCAGTGCTGCAGGCCCGGTGGATGTAACACTGCAATTTGTGTGTCTCTAAAGGATATTGATTTCGGGGTAACGCCTTCATATCTTGCCCGTCAGTTGCGCTAAGTACTGATGAGCTCAGCGGTTTTGACCACGAACCGCTCGGGTGCGAATTTCGGCGTGGGTGGACGTCGGCAATTCATCACGGCAGGTTGCACGGGAAAGCTCGCTTCACCCATTTCCGAGGTTCGTGGGATGGCACAGAGCTGCCTTCCCAGTTGGATCAGCCTGGAATAGCGGGATGCCCACACGTGTGCACACAAGGGTCCTCGGTGCAGCTGCCGAGTGTGCAGGTGTGCGAGGAAGCAGTGGACGCACAAAGTCCTCGTGCTGCTGTGTGGAGGTGGCTGCCACGAGCTCTGGTGCATGGAAAAACTAAGGTGTGAGCGTATTTGCACTGGTTTGAGCTGACAACAGCAGCACCCAGCACTGCAGCAGCAGGATCGATGCCATAAAAGTATCAGCCGGTGGGATGCAGACGGCGTGTGCCCCGACGGGAGCCTCTGCCGTGTATATTTTGCATGCATTTGTTAGGAGCGAGATGCTTACGGTTGAGCGGTCAAGCGTGGCGAGTCGTGGCCCGTCAGGTCACGCAGGGATGGCGGGAGCCGGGTGGGAAGTGAGAGAAAGCACGGGATCGCCCGGCTCCGCCGGCCGAGCTCGCCAGGTCCCCCGGGGACCAGTGACCTGCACTCGGCCTCTCTGCCACTGGCACTCGCTCCCAGAAACAGCTGTCCAGAGCTAATTTATTTCCTAATGCTGCAGCAATGTTAATTTATAAATTACACTGGTAATTCGAGCTATTATTAATTTCAGATGGTGTAGGGCAAGCCTAATTAAAATATGACACCAATTGCCACACATACGTACCAAGGACTACCATTTAAAATTTATAGGAATATTAAGTGTGACACTGGTCTCGGAGACGCTTCACACAGTAATTACAGCATCTCGGCTGCGGGAGATCCGATGGGGAGGTGTCAATGAAAGGAAGGGAGGAGTGGTCCCCGTTCGGGGCTGTCGAAAACCCACCGGTGCCGTTGGCTCAGGGGCGAGCAGCCTTTCTCCGGGATGCTCCGCCGACGTGTCCTTATCGCCAGGTTTCTTTGTTTAACTCTGCGTTTGTTGCCACGCCACGATCTCCATCAACCTGGAGACTATCGTGGCCCGACACCAGCGCCTCGCCAGCCGAGCGCCGTGGGTTTCCCAGGAAAGCTTCAAAGCGAAGCGGGCTCTTGGAAGGAAGCAGGGGGGCCGTGAGATGCCAGATGAAAGGAAAAGCTGCTGATCGCATCCGCCCGGCTTCGAGCGAAACCAGGAGCTGGGGTGCAGCCCAGGTGCGGGAGAGCGGGGTGAGCGTGGCCCCCCACGGGTACCCCAAAATGAGCCTGGAGCAGCGCAGGGACACAGCGTTTTGGCTGAAGGGAGACGTTGGCACTACAACTAATGGGAATAAACTGGCTGTGAATTCATTGAAGCTGAAAAATCAGACGAGTGTCTATGTAGAGAGCAAGGAGAGCCCAGCGGCAGCCTGGGCTGGGATGTGCCAATGCCAAGGAGAGATCATTGAAGGTCATTCTAGCAGGGTATGGGTTTGGTGAGGACCACCCTGCTGCACACGGTGGGCACATCATAGAATCATAGAATGGTTTGGGTTGGAAGGGACCTCAAAGATCATCTAGTACCAAGCGCCCTGCCATGGGCTCCACTACACCAGGTTGCTCAAAGCCCCATCCAACCTGGCCTTGAACACTCCCAGGAATGGGGCAGCCACAACTTCTCTGGGCAGCCTGTGCCAGTGCCTTCAGCAAGTGATGCTTTCAGCAGAGCCAGCGCCGACACTGAGGTCCAGCGCTCGCAGGCACCTTTCTGGCGACGGTTTCCTTGGGGTGGAGGGTGGTGGGGCTCAGGCGTGTGGGCGTGCTGGGATGTGGGGAGTGTGCCACGGTCACAGATGGTGACTGAGCGATGGGCAGGGGCTCACTGTTCCTCCCCATTGCTCACGGCCCTCTCCCTCTGCCCCCGCAGCTGTGGGCTTCGTCAGCGAGGATGAGTACCTGGAGATCACGGGCATCACACGGGAGCAGTCGGGCGAGTACGAGTGCAGTGCCTCCAACGATGTGGCAGCGCCCGTCGTCCAGCGAGTCAAAGTCACCGTCAACTGTGAGTAGCCTGAGGGCTGGCAGGGAGCAGGGATGGGACTTGGGTGGTGGAAAGTGGAGTGAACGCAGCCTTTGGGCCCCAGAGCCGAGACAGGCAGCGGCAGGTTTACCCCAGAGCCGAGACAGACAGCGGCAGTTTTCTGAGCAGGTGGTGGTTTGCCCTTTTTTCCCCTTCTTTTCGAGCTCCGTTTTTTGCCACCACCTCCTCCTCAGCTGTCGCCATCAACCTGGGCTTTCCGCCCATGGTGAGATGCTGTGCTGATAACCTCCGGGGAGAGGAGAGAAGTGAGCAGTAAATAGGAATTTTTTTTTCTTTAGAAAAAATGCAAGAGAGGGAGAAAAAGAGCAGGGAAGAAAGCAGCACCATTTGTGCTCAGAGATGGAGGTGAGGACCCTCCTAAACTCCTCTCTGACCACCCCTTCAGCTGCTTGGGGTCGGTCCAGGGGGACATGTGGTTCCCAAGAGCCCAGGGGCTCTGGTCCTTGGAGAACCCCACTCTAGGCTGTGGCGTGGGGTCTCCCATCAGCCCAAAGCCCCCTGGGCAGCAGTGCCGGAGTGGCAGGAGCTAGGCACGGGCTCAGAGATGATTTTGACTCCTTCCTAAATGCGGGGAAAGAAAAGGGAACTTGAGGAGCAAAGGGGAGGGGGTGGGAGGCCCAGGGCTGCCGGGCACCAAACCCAGACTCCCATCTTCCCTGCAGACCCGCCGTACATCTCGGACGCGAAGAGCACCGGGGTGCCGGTGGGGCAGAAGGGCATCCTGCTGTGCGAAGCCTCCGCCGTCCCCTCCGCCGACTTCCAGTGGTACAAAGATGACAAGAGGTAAGAGTCTGGGGGGGCAGAACGGGAGGGCACGCACCGAACCAGTGCCGGCAGCTTCGGCGACCAGTCGCTGGTCAAATCCCTGATAACCCTTGGCACAAGCCGGATCCGGATGCCGAGGCGGGATCACCGCTGCCCGTGCCTCCGGTTTATGGTCTCGTGGTAAATCCCTGCTTGGGGTGAAATTCGCCCTTTTAGGTCAACCTGCAGCTCCCACGTGCCACCAAAGCGGTGGCCCGGGGCTGTGGCTGGGGAGAGAGGAGGGGAGCAACGCAGCCAGGGGTAGGGTCCCACTCTGGGGCAAATATCTCTCTCTGACCCCAGGCAAAGCTTTTTTAACCCTTTTTTGCATCACTTCTCCGTGGTGCATCGAAACACAGGACGAGCCACGCAGGTCACTAATAAAGAGGCGTTTTTTAGCCAAAAAAGATGCTACGGTAGCTACAGGGGAGGCTGGGGCCTTCTGCCCTGGCTGTTTCGGAGCACAGCAGCGGGTGGAGCGTGCAAAGCGGCGGATGTTTGCGTGGCAGATGAAAGGCTTCGCTCAGAAGTAGGTCAGGTCACGAGGGCCCGCAAAGCAGCGGCAGGAGCGGGCTCAGCCCGCCCGGATCAGCACTCGGAGCTTGGCAGGGTGGTAATGGGGATCTAGCACCTCCCAGGAGGAATTAGCAAGTAAAAGAGCCACAGGAGCTGAAGCGTGAGGGGGACAGCAGTTCAGGGCAGTCAAAAGGGTTTTCGGGAGTGTCTGCAGCCTGAGCGTGCTGCCAGCCCCGGCAGGGGCACACGGGGAGCTGACGGGGTCAGGGAAGGGGAAGGTGTGAGCAAGCATCCCGCAGAGCCGGGAGGACCGAGGAAGCCTCGAGGCCATCGCGAGAGGGAAGCCAGGCTCTTCTGCTGGGTGGGAGGGAGCCTTTCCCAGGTACCACCCTTGGGAGCGTGAGCATCCCTCCCTCTGCACGGCGTGTAGTGACAGGACAAGGGGCAATGGCTTTAAACTGAAAGAGGGGAGATTTTGATTAGATATAAGAAGGAAATTTTTTACAATGAGGGTGGTGAGGCACTGGAACAGGTTGCCCAGAGAAGCTGTGGCTGCCCCATCCCTGGAAGTGTTCAAGGCCAGGTTGGATGAGGCTTTGAGCAACCTGGTGTAGTGGAAAGTGACCCTGCTCTCTGGCAGGACCCGGAGATAGCAGGTTATGGAAAACAGCAGGTACTTCTCCTCCCAATGCCATCCCCATGACCCTCTCCCCTTCTGCCTTTCTCCCAGGCTGGCTGAAGGGCAGAAAGGACTGAAAGTGGAGAACAAAGCCTTCTTCTCCAGGCTGACTTTCTTCAATGTCTCCGAGCAGGACTACGGCAATTACACCTGCGTAGCCTCCAACCAGCTAGGAAACACCAACGCCAGCATGATCCTCTATGGTGAGTAGCACCGAGGGAGCCAGCCGGGGAGGGGACGTGGCTTAATGGTGAGACCATCAACACACAAGACATGGGAAGGGTCTCTCTTGTCTTTTGGGGGAGAGGTGCATTTGTTGCTGATCCCTTCTACCCTGGCACGTGGGTCAGAGGTTGTGGTTAGCCCAGGGAAAGCATGAAAGCCTCCAAAGCTGACTCCTGACTCAGGCCCTGTATCTGCCCCTCCTCTGAGGTGTTCAGCACCATGTACAGGGCCCACCATTGATGCAAAGTTAGGACTCTGCTGCAGGTTTCCACCTTCTTGCTTTGATGAATAGCTCGGAGAGCCTCTGGTTCCAGGCTTCCTCCTGTGTTGATGGGTGGGAGGAGAGATGACATTCAGGGTTGTTGCAGCAAATCTGCAGGACCAAACCTTCAGGATCACACCACAGGTGCCATGTGCCCTGTGCCTACCTGAGAATAAATGACCCCCACAGCTCCGCCACCTTCCAGGTTGCGTTCTCCGTTCCTGCCAAGCAGATACGTTGATACTGATGGTGCCAGAGAGAGGTGGGAAGGTGCAGAGGGTGGGAGTAGGAGCAGCTTTGTGCCTTCATCCGGGGGCTGTTTTCTCTGCGTGCCGAAGTCTGGATGAGAGCAATGTATCTGTCTGACACCAGGAAGGGCTGTAATTCCTTGACATGTTTGTCAAGGCTCTTCAGGCCACAGCAGAGCCAGATCCAGGGTACCGCGCTCCCCACATCCCTCTCACACCACCAAGAGCCAGGGATGGATGGCAGGTCTCGTCCCCAGCCACTGCTGGGGGATGTTTCCCTGCCAGGGGTACCGGGTGGGTGGTTCTCACTGCTGAACTGTATGGGAGAAGCAGGGCTTGAGGACCTCCATCCTCTCCTGACATCACCCTGGCATTGTCCTCCTCCTCACCACCCACCCCTCCCCCTGGTGGTCCCTCCCGGTGGCGAGCGCTGACCGTGGGTGACATTAACACCAGCTCATGGCAAGCGAACCACGAAGCGGTGCGGAGGTCGGCGATAATCACTGCTAAGAGTGTTTGATGGAAAGCACTGGTTTCCTACATCCTCTAGCCATCCTGGTGTCACAAACCCTTTTCTAGCGTGTACAAAGGATTTAATTAAGCGCACAGAGAGCGTGCAGGAAAACTCCTCTTCCGTAGGACAGAAGGGACTGGAGCACAGAGGGTCCTGTTGGGTCTGCATGGGGGGGCTCGGTTGGCTTGTAGGCCTGCGATGGTCGCAAGAAGTGGAAGGGAAAGCCAGTAAAATGAAGAAAGTGTCACGGGGTAGGAGGAAGGACGTACCTGGAAGTCCTGTCTTGTTGCCACTGTTCTCCTGCATATCTTTACAGAAGGCAACACCCATCTTGTGTGTCTCTTGCGTCGTCACGTATGAGTATGGGAAGCTTTTCTGGTTCAGCACGAGCTCAGCAGGAGCTTCTGTGGTGTCTGTCACCCTTTTGCGATGGCCGTGCAGTGTGTTGTGTCACTCCCCGCCCCAAAGCAGCACACCCTTTTTTCTTTCCAGATAGTTTTCTTCTTCCTGTAGGGCAGACGATGCGTTGGCAACCAGTTGCCATCATCTTGGGCATCTCCCATGCCAGTGTCTTTGCAAAGGAGGCCTTCAGTCTGGCGATTAATGTGTCTTTATTCATTGTAATGAAAGATGAGAGGGACATGGCACGTGATGGCCGCGCTACCTGCGGCACGAGAAACGCATCACCCGTGCCGTTTTGGGGGACCGATTTTGTGTGTATCCCCTTTTCCTGAGGCCGAGCGAGTGGTTTGGGTTTGTTTTTTTTTTTCCCCCCTCCCAAATGGAGATTTAATCCCTGTGGGTACCATGACATGAGCCTTTCCAGGACCATGCGACAGAGGCTAATGTAGCGTACATCTTTTAATCCTTTTTTTAATCTAATTTTTCCGGGAGGTCAACTAGTGCTTTATTTAACACGTAGCACTTGCTATTACAGACCTGCCGCCTCATTCAGCAGCTCATTTGGTGCTGTCTGGGATGTGATGGAGCGCTCAGTGAAACCACATCCTTTTGTGGAGCTGGGGGAAAAAAAAAAAAGCCCTCTTCTTCTCCCCCGTTGTGCGGTCCGCGTTGCTTCCCAGGGACCGGTGTCAGGCGATAAATCCATTTGGGATGTTGCAGGGGATGAGAGGGATGGGCACCAAACCTGCGCTGGAGGGGAAGAGGAGCGTGGGGGAGAGCCAAACCCCCGGAGTCGCCCAAATCCCAGCCCCTGCACTTTGCTTTTTGCCCGGGATGCAACTGTGAACGTTGCCACAAACCCTGCCTGGGTCTGGGGTCCCACAGACGGCTCAGCTCAGCTCATGTAGCACTTTTCCCAGACGGGGGGACTGCGGCCTCGGAGGACAAGGGCTCAATTTGGGCAGCAGCATCACATTTGCTACTCCATCTGCTTGTCTTCCTCGGCCCCAGGTCGAGGGCAGGAGCAAAGCATCTCAAGCCTGCGCTTTCCATTGCCCTTCTGCCTTAACTTTCGCTTGTTCTTTAATTTTTAGAAGAGACAACTACCGCTCTGACACCCTGGAAAGGTCAGTAATTCGGGGACCCCCCTGCAACACCAGTGCTCCCCCCGGCTCTGTTTCCCCATGGGCCCCTCTGGCTCCTGCTCCGAGTTGTCCCGGTGGGAGCT